ACTCCACAAAGATATTTGCTAAAAGTGGAAAATGACATGGACTAATTTGTTCTATATGATGAGTAGAAGAAAACCTTACAGAGCACTTATATCAAGCAAAGACAAGTGAGGGACAGAGGGCCCATCTACCCTCTCCCTGAAAGAATCAGAGCCCCAAAGCCAGGTCTAAGCCCTCCTGCTTAGGAAGGATAGAGCCAACAAGTCCCACGAACAAGTGGACCACAGTGTTGCAGTCGTCAGTTCCTACAGAAAAAATAGATGCGTGGAAGGGGGATCCAAACATTTTCAGGTAAGTTATCTGGTATGTGGGCATTTCAAAACTACCACTCTAATTGACTGCATTAGAACAGCAGACGTTGTTTCATTACAGTCCTTTTCTGCCTCGTGTATAAATCTTGTTCCACTGTTTTCAGAACAGCATAACCCTTTCTGCTCCATAGGTTGCTATAATGGGGGAGAGGAGACTACAAGGGAAACAGCTGGGGCTACAACAGCAAAGACTGAAGCATATGGCCCACCAGCTCTCTCCTTCCATCCAAGAAGCACCTCTTGGTTTGGAGCTCTCCCCAGCATTTCAGAGAGAGGCTTCTTAAGAAGAACCCAGCTTCATTTACAAACCAGACTTAGCAAGCGCTGCCAGCAGCGTTCTCACTTCCACCCAGTGATCTGGGGGCATACAGCCTTGACCAGACAGTGCTTCATTCACAGACTCCACCGATCTGAGAAGGTTACTGATTTTAGCATTTATTCCTGTTTTCTGGAGCTGGTGAATTGACTTGGCTGGTTTTCAGGCAGGTAAGGGGTTAGATAACAGACAGACCTCAGTGAACCTTCACAGGGCCTCAGACTCCAGAAACAATCTGCCTTTTGCACCTGACATCTGTGGACAACATCAGAGGTTGAAACCATCCTGTATCTGTAACAAGAGGGTCCCAATTCCTACTGTGGTCTTTGAGCACTGTTGTAATAAAATCCTTTGCCAAATAAAACAACTGCAAGCCATTCTCTCCAAATTTCCTTGCATCAACACTTGCCTTTAAGTAAAGCACATGAAACAGAGTTTTCCTTGTTCTAAGCAAGTAAGATGATGATTTGTAAATTTAAGGAGGGAAAAAAAACATTTTCTCAGATACTGAAACAGGACATGTTGCATATATTGAAGTTACAACGACAGAGGGGTCATTAGACCTGTAGTTCTGCTTTGAGTCAAAGATACAGAAGTGATGAATTCTATGCAAACATACTGATAAGGCCTATTGTCATCAATGATAAACTGATAACATGCAAGGTCCTCGGGCCATCTGATGTCAATGGAATTGTTACTATTCACATGCACGTGAGAACTCCTCTACTTACATCAGCAGAATTCAGTGTCAGTACAAATTCATGAGGCAATTCCATTGGCTTCATTATAACTGTGCATTACAAGTTCATTAGGATCTCTGACTTAACAAGGAAATCACCAAATTCTCTTTTCAAGATCTAGAGAAAACTGACATCCAAGCCATTTTTTAATATTCTGCAGCTATTGTACTGTTCTTTATGCTAAATGCATTTAATGGTGCTTATATTATTAGGAGACCAGCTAAATAACAGAGCAGTTACCTGTAAAATCACGGACCTTTGCCTACCCCCTCTGTTGCCATTCCTCCCCCACTTTGGCCAAGGCATTCCCCTTTCTGGTATTTTGTCCTGGGTCTGAATCCTATTATTCTCTGGGCTTCCTGTCAGTTGATGAAAATAAACCTTGTGTGTGGTGCAGAACCCACTCAGCCTGGGCAGCACTGCAGGTGGACAGCTGGACTAACAGCTGTCAAGACAGCACAGAAGTTGGAATTGCATTTTTATTAATAAAACTGGTCTCATTTCCCCAAGCTGCAGCTGTGAGGAAGAGAGGCAGGATTCATTAGGGCTTGGGGGGAAGCCAGCAGAGAGTGAATGGAGGACTGGGGCCTCTGACTGGGTGTGAGGTTCAAAGCAGAGGACTGAAGACTGGATCAGGTCCAGAGAGGCTGTGGAGAAGGAAGAGGCTGATCCACAAGGGAGACCAGAGGTGAACCAGGAATAATAATTGTTGGGTAGGGAAATTGCTGATAAGCAGCATACCATTTATGCAGGAAAACCAGCAGTGCATGGGATTAATGATGATAATCAGGTAGATTCCCAACCACTCTAACAAGTGCATTCAACATTTCTGGAAGACTGGATTCATAGGCTGCCATTGCCAATAATAATAATAATAATAGCAGATCCGACACCTCCACATTTGACGGAAAGCTGGTATATTCCAAAGACAAAGTATTGCATGTCAGATGCATCTTTCTGAGCAAGCAAGAGCCATCCTCTGGCCAGGGTGTTTTTAGCAGCTTTTAGGGGAGAGGCAGAACCCAGAAATTCCCCTCCCCATATTCCCCTTCTCCAGTTTAAACCCTGGATACAAGTTTAAGTCACTACTACTGCTTGAGGCTTTTGACAGAAGAGTGAAGTATGTTATGCAAGTCACGTTCCATTCTTGACATGGTGTCATTGTCTACTTTCTCCTAGACCTGCAGAAGGGTTAAATGAATACAGAAAAGCACAAGTATCCAGGCAGTGTCTGGTCTCTCAGGAAGCTCACCCAATTAAGCAACTGTGTAAAGCCAATTATAAGTTTTGAGGCTAACTTCACCTGGATCGGGGGGATCATTTAAATATTATATATCTGTTTTAAGAAACTAGATGGGACTGATGTTCAGGACCTTTAAATAAGTCAAACAAGGTGTATAAGTATGAACAAGTTAGCTGCTGCTCAACTGACATGACAACCAGAAAAGCATCAGTTCCTCAGCATCTTCATAAAAGGACATACTCACCCACCACTCTTGGTCCTCTTCACCAGTTACAATAATTACTTCTCCTTCAACAAAGGTAAGCTCATCATCATTATCTGCTTGGCAGTCATAAATGGTCTTTACTCTTCTGACTTTGTTTTTCCCCTTAAAAAAGGTAAAGTTTAAGGTTAAGGAGCTCAGAGAAAGGGATAATAGAATTTAAACAGCTTTGGACTCTGTTTTATTCTCCAAAACCACTTTATGTCATCAGTCATTTGTCTCTGACTGCAAACCAAAAAGGACAAAGAAGCTGCACTGGTAAAGTGAAGGATTTTAACCACGTTTAGTGGCTGTCATCGTTTGTACTTAAAACTGTACACATTTCAGAAAACCCAGCATCTAACATACTACTTTATTAAATTTTTTTGCACTGAAATGATATCAGAACCATTGTTAGCAGTATTTTCTGCTTAGGCTAGAAAGCAATTTTGACAACAGCTTTAATATCACTTCAGTCCACACACTCACCTCTTAACACAGACTAGAAATAAAAATGCCCTCTGATTTTCAGAAGATTCACGGGCTGAAGAAAATAGCAAATCCCACTATTTAAAACTGTCTCTAGAAGTTTTGGATCCCAGCCCACACTGCATTCTTTGATTCAGGTCTAGATGCAAACTGAAATCTGAAAACTATGAGATTTTAACCAAGATGCTAGAAATCTCATATGAAATCTAGTTTCAGAAGACTACAAACCATGTAATACTGACAACATAAGCCACTGATGAGATAATCTACTCTGAAACCAAAACATGATCTCTAGGTCTATTTCTGCCCATAGTTAAGAATTTGCATCAAAGCACTGCCCCACTAGCTCAGATCTAGACAGCTATATGTGCGTGGTAGAATTTGTCTGCTTCTATACATCGCATTTCAATCACTACTCAGATGGAAGGTACCGTACAGGACAGGAACAGTGGGGAAAAGATCAGAAAAAGATCTGTGCAGAAAGCTATTAATAATAATCCTCCCAGATCATTTGAATATGTGTACATAGCTTCAGTCTGTAAATGCAAGGGAAGGAAACAATTTCTGACATCTACAGTGTATTATTTTTTTTTCTAGTTCAAGCAAAAGTCTGAAAACAGTTGGATTTCTATACACATCTTAAGGTATCAGGATGTGAAAGAAAGCGACTGACATTGCTCCAGGTAGTTGCTACTTTGTTATTTGTAGCTTTGCTGACATTTTAGTAATCTATTTCCTTTAACTCATGGAAGTGGTGGAAAGGTGAATTCAAGCCTGAGGTGGTCTGCATTTCTGCAAAGGACTAAGAGCTGGATTTTAAAAGAAGGCGTATTTTCAGAGTTCATTGGGACAGTCAGGTGTAAAGAAACTGAAATATTTTCAAAGCATTTAATTTTCCCCTTTGTTAGCAAGTCCCTTAGCCCAAAATGTATATAGTAGTTTTTTAGTGGCACCAAGACCATTTTTCCTCTCTGTAAATCCCATCTAACTCCTTATTGATAGTACTTGGTCAAAGCTGCTGTACACTTCTGAAATACCCGATTTCCTAAACTGGTTAACAAACGAACTTTTGCTTGCATAGTCAGTGGCTAAACAGAATCAAAGGGATCGGGCAGATGACACTAGCATTATTGGCTCTCACTGCAGATCTTGATCTTACATGGAAATGGAGACAAGGGAAGACATGTTTGAGATGGGTTCATGTCTTCCAACAGCCACACTGCCAGCCAATGGGAATGACCATGTGTGCACACACAGGAAGATAAGCTGGGTATGGAAACCCCGGTGTGCCCCCTACTACAATTTGTGAATGCCAGCTTTCAGATGGGGACAGTCCAACATAGCTGATATAAAAATAAATGCAAGCAGAAGGTTCGGTGGTTCATTCTCAGAACATTTCAAGTGGCCCAGGCAATTATCTGTAGTTTAAAAAATATGAAAATACTTCAAAAGACTAATGCAGTATTTGCCTTTCTTCATGGAGTGAGAAAAGGAGCATATAGAGGTGAGTTTGCCCCACTATTTTTCAGGTAAATAAATAGATGGGTTAGAAGTAGCACTGAGGGCTGGATCTGACCCAAAGGCCAGCGGCTGAGCACCTCTGCTCTAAGCACAGAAAACTCCCTTAATTCAGAAACAGAATTTGTTCCCTTCACAATGCCAAAACGAAGTGGTGAATTCAGATATACTGCCATGCTCCCAGTCTTGGCCTTTTGTGTTCCTTATCCTTATTTTGGCATGTAGGAACCTTTGTCATCACCATCATTACGTGCTGAAACCATTCAAGAGCACACAAGTCCACCCGCACCTTCACTGGAATGCAGTGTCACCAGTATTGTGCACTGAAACCCAGTACATCTTTCTTGCAAATTTAGCCCTAAGACCACTTCAAAGCTTGCCATAAGGCTTACAAACAAAGTGACATCGTACAGCTACCTACCATGTTTATTTTCCTGGGGAGCGGCACGGGGGTCTCTGGGAGGCTGTGCGCTATGTCATTAGCATCTTCAGATGGTTGTTTTTGGACGGCGTCTCTAGACTGTGCGTTTGGAGACAGATCCAAGGAGTGAGATTTCTGATTGGTCTCAGTGGGTGGAGGCTTTGGAGATGCTTCTCTGGCTTGAGTTTTAGCCAACACCTCTCCTAGCTGAGGTTTGGGAGGAAGGTCCTTCATTTGTGGCTTTGGAGGTAAGTCTCCAAGTTGTGGTTTTGGTGGCAAGTCTCCTAGTTGAGGTTTTGGGGGGAGCTCTCCTGGTTTGGGGGGTAAATCTCCAATTTGAGGTTTCTGGGTTTGTTCCACAGGTTGAGACTTTGGGGGCAAGTCTCCAGGTTGTGGTTTCTGTGGCAGATCGATAGACTGCGAAGACTTCAGGAAGATTTCTGCATGCGGACTCGGTTTATCTATTGAAAGATGATGACTGGTTTCTATTTTTCTTAGTGCCACTGAAAGAGAAAAAACCCCAAAACATTTTCACATGCATTACACAATCTCCTTTTCTCATATTACTTTAAGGAAAGGGGTCTTAAACGTAAAAGATGCTTCTCTATAGAAGGAAGAAATTCTCTTTTTCAGGCAATCAAACTACAGGCTGCTGTAACTCAAATTCTCTCTCCAAATTCAAGAACAGATATCTGTAATTAAGCACAACTAAAGGAAGCTCAAGACCCAGCAGTTGTCTGGTTTAAGATATAATTTACACATCTTTGAAATAAGTTTTCTCCAAACAAACAAATGGACTTCGTAAACATTTTCTGTGATGTTCAATTAACTTTTTTTAGTGTCACTTTGCTTTCATCTCTCAGAGTTTTCTGTTCTGCTTTACTTACATGACTGCAGTTAACTATGTTTTTTTAAGCACATCTGTCCAGAATCTGATGCTGATATAGAGAAAAAAAATAAGCTGTTGATGAAAACATCATGTTTTGACTTAGATAAAAAAACAACTGTTCAGTGTTCACCATTTGCTTTTAGGTCAAGCAGTGCTATAGAGAAAAACTCCAAGAATGTAAACCTACTACACATGCTATCCTACATATGCTATCACAATATAATCTACTAGAAGAACACTTTAATGCCATTGTATGCGACTAATCTGAATTGAAGATGAAAACCACGCATGATTTCCACAACATTTTCCAACACGTGGAAAAAAACATCTAGCCATACGTGTGCAAATGACCCCAACTTCTGGGCAAACATTGTAGCACATCTACAAACATATTAATTCGGGGTTGAAAGTCAGGCCCAGCAAAAAATCTTCACAGCAATTTTGATACTAAATATATTGTACTGAACATAAATACATACCTGGATAAGTGCATAATTTGCTTAACTGCACAGCACAATGCCAGTCCCTATTTTTTAGTTAATAACATGATTAATAACAAACATAATGAACATAATGAATTAATAACAAATATTAGTTAAGTGCATAAGCTATCTGAATACAATATACATCTTTCAGTCCTGCTGTCTACTTTGTCAATTAGCTGTACCCTGATTAGCTGCACAGAAAAGGTGAGGGAGAGGCAGCTGTTAATGGGCTGCCATTAAGCACCCTGAACATGATGAGAGCAAGTCACTTTCCGGGCTGCTATCTACCCTTGTTTCCACTACCTACCCCCATTTCCACGGCATCCAATAGCAGCCACGAGATGGAGTATTAAAGGCCTTGAAGATGACAGAAACTGTCAGTTTGGGGGCTGCTAACACAGCAGAACTGGCAATGTGGTGTTACTTCATGAGCACTTTTTACATTAAATTCAGATAACAATGTACTCAAGAGTAAATGCACAGCACTTTTTCACTCCTGAGCGTATTCCTAAGTACAAGAGTAGACTATAAATTATCTTCCCTCTGAAATGATGCTGTAGCTTAGGATGCCAGTTTTGGTGTTGGGTCACCAATCCCTCAAAAGCTGGAACAACTATTTGCTTTGCTTTCACAGTTTTGCATATAGCCCCAAATTAACTAGCCTGTGATTGTGGCAAACTCTAAATTAATATTAGAACAAGTTGAAGTTGATGTCTTTCACTTTAATGTGTACCATCTCCATGATGTTTTGAAGGGATATTGTCATACTGTAATAATTAAGCCCAAATACCTGCTGACGGAATGAATTTATCATTTTTATTTCCCTTTTATCATTTATGCATTTTTCTAACTTTGCAGAACCAAAGTAGGTTCCAGCTTCCCTTGCTGGTGTTCAAACTCAACAAAATGTTTTTATTATCCATTTGCACAGTGGCACACACAACGTTAAAGCCATTTTTGTTTTCACCGTCTTTCACCTTCATTCTGGGACAGATCATCACAGATTCCATGGACCAAACATCCTCTCACTCTTCAGCTGGCCTCACTTCTGCAAACGCTGTTCCTACAAACTGCGAGTGCAGGAAGGGCTCCTCAGTCCAGTGGCACACCATGATTTGCATCATACTGTACACTACTGCTAGGATGTCATTCTTACGCACTCCAGCCTTTATGGTTTACCAAACACTCACTTGTATCTTGTCCTAGTGCTTAGGAGGACTAGTCATGAAACATGGTCCCTCTCCTTGCTCTACTGTAGAAATACAGAACAAGGCCAGTCCTCACCCCCAAATGTTTACCAACCAAGGCATAGTCAACAAGCTTGTGTGCGTCTAACCCAAAGTGACTTCAAGGCAACAGGATGTAGATTTATGCTAGTTGAGGAACGCATTTCATGAAAGACATAAGTTAAGCCCCTACCATTACACGGCAGCTGTCAGAAGGCATACGTGGACAGTCCCTCTTTTCTGGCAGCCTTCTCATTCCTCCAGAAGCCGCCCCCCAATGCCTCATACTGACCACTCTGGACCCTGGTTTGAACTCAAACTGAGCAGGAGCTGCCTCCATCTCTTGCCCCCATTTTAAAATCTCTTCACCATTCAGAAAATACTAAGTGCCAGCCAGCACACGCGAGAGAAAATGAATGTGGATTTCAGTAGGGACATTGGGGCTCCCGACCCCCATGCTCTTACTTGAAGCAGTAGAAAGGGCTGTTCAAAACCAGCTCCACAGAAACCTCCAAAACTACAACCTCTAAAAGAAGCCTGCAAATAATGTACAAGCAAAACGCTGCAAGAGGCAACAAGAATCAGTGCCAAGCCCAGCCAAAGGCGTATCACCAGGGGGTCCTGCAGAACGCGCAGCGGTCTGGAATGCTTCTAGGACAAGGCCTGTCCTGCAGGAGCATCACTGAGTTAGATGTAGGGTGAGACATGCAGCTGAGGAGATAGCAACTACATCCCAGTCCCTGGGGCATCTGTCTCATATTGGCTATGCTTCTGCTTTGGCCCAAGATCCTTGGTTGCCTGGACAGAAACAGCCCTTTGATGCTCAGGAAAGCTTCCAAGAAGTGCTCCAGGAGAACTGCTCCAAATGTCCCTCTATGGTTCTGCCTGCAGCCTTATTTCTCCCCTCATGGCAGGGCACCCCCTTTCCATACCACTCACTGGGCGCTTCAGCAGGAACCTCTGCTGAAAACAGTCAAGCAGTGTAGGGGCCTTGGCACTTCTTGGTAACCTGTAGCATTTGCTTTTGCTGCGTGTTGGCTACCCTTTGCTAGGAAAGCCAACCAGAAAAACAGGAACACAGGACTGGAAGAGTTCCCCTGAGCAATCGAGAGTGGCTGCCTATACGGTTCAGTACCTGCCGAGGTGTAGTGGCTTAAAGCCCGCTTTATGGAAATGGGAGTCTCCCTAGCTTGCTCTGAGGGCCCTATAGCTAAAGGCATGAAAAACTCAGGGTCATCTGAACCCCAAGCCTGCAGGCTTGGGCATCCTACTTGCAGGCTCACCAAAGGATTTGGAAACAACTGAAGCCCCAGATTGGGGTAGAGGATGTTTGCTGGTAGTAGGGCCACTTATGGTTCTGGACTGACTCAAGGATTTGGAATTGATTTGGCAATTTGGCTGGGAATACAGAAATTAAAAAAAAAAATTAAATCAAAGACCTCCCAGAAATAGCCTCCAAAGGCTTTTTGTTGTTGTTGCCATAGCCCTAGCTGAAGTCCCTAGCAAACTTCTCCATATATAGGTACAGGCCTACCACTTAGCATAGAGACATCGTAATGACACTAGCCTGTTGGCACTTTGTCCAGAAATATCTTGAACTTTTCTTTCTTCAGGATTCTGCAGGCCCCATTTTACCTGTTTCAGGGTCGTTTCCACATGTTATGTTGGCTGCATAAGAGTTACTTATTATGTCCATTTGCTCTCTCAAATTTTAAACCACGTTACCTCTGTTTGATGCTATATCAAATCCAAAATGGATTCCAGGCCCAGTTTTGTTTGGCAAAGTAACTGACAGTTACATATGTGCTCTCCTCTGTCCACAAAACCCACACTACCCTTGAGGCTGGAGGCCTAAGCTCAGATGTGTCACTGAATTGTTCTGCTAGGGTCTGAATGCAACAGTGTGCTTTGCTTTTAGCATTTATGTCTGACTGCTCAGACCAAAACAAACAAACAAAAAATCAATCAGTGGACAGCCGTTGCACCGCTCCCTTGCTAACCTAGGCACAAAGTTTCCCTCCAGCCTTATGCAGGTTGCTCAGAGCACAAAAGGCAACAACCACCAAAGAGAAGTTGCCTTGCTGAGGTCAAGCCTTCTCATGAGACATCCCCAGTGCCCTTCAATGCTCAAAGATGCTCTCACCTGCCATCCTGCATGGTCTAGTCTCTTAAACCGCTCTCCTTGCGGCTAACCAAAGTATGGCTTCATGGGGCAGGACAGGATAAGTTACACTGGGTTTTCTATGACTAATATAGGTATTTCAATGCTCCACATATCAGTGGTTGGGGAAAAACACCCCTGTTTGAAACTTCTGGAAGAGGTGGCGATGAGGCCTTAGGCTGGGAATGCTGGGTGCTTGAGAGCATGCAGCAAGCTCTTACGCTGTAACCGTTACCTGTGCAGGAGCCTGCAGCCTTACAAATGTCGCAGCGGCAACATTGCACTTCTGCAGGGGAGCAGCCTGCACAGAGGAGGAAGGCCATGTTCCACTGCAAGTGTGTCTAGTGCAGTCTGCTGATGGCGCACACGCACCCTTAGACACAACTGAAACATTTGAACCCTAGGCCATTAGTTACGGTGTCAACTGGTGCTACTAACAGATTTCAATGCACATTTAATTATCTTTGACTTCTTTTCTTCTATCTTATGTTCTTTCTTTTATTTTCTTCTGGGGACAAAGGAAGGAGGAAAGAGAGCAAGGGAGAGGAGCAGCTACCACCATCTTTCCAAACCTGCTCACTTCCTTTGAGTTCGGATGCCACGCTCTCCTCTCCTTTCAACTGTTTTTCTCCTATGTCCCAAATCTCTTGATTCATGTACTGCTACAGATTCCTTCCACCTACTCCCAACCCTTTAAAAAAAGGCTAGATTAATTTAATAACCATCATCATTATTTGGAGTCATTCAAGATGTTAATGGCAAACAAGTCTTGTAATTCAAAAGTGCACACACTGGAGATGCTTTCCTCCGTAGGCAGTATACACAACCGATTTTACTACTGGGTGATCTTTTTTAGTGTTGAAAAAGTCAGGGAATGTAATCAGTTCAGTTCAAAGGTGAGTGCCAAAGTTATTTAGGTCATGTCTGTACTGTTTCCCTGCTACCCCCAGGACTGGGACTAAGAAAATACCTCAGATTCCAGGTTGCACCGGTAGAGAGGGTCAGGAATCTCTCTGTGGATCCTGAGGCATAAGTCTGAACTTTGCTCCATAGTTATGTTAAAAGGCCCTCACTAATCCACCCAAATGGGTACCTGATCGTTTGGGCTGGGGAGTAAAAGACAGCTGATGTGATGCAAGTCACATTACTCCCTGGTGTGCCATTCCACTGCAGAACCTGGTGTATATAAAACACGTTAGTCCTATGTGCTGCTGTTAGTTCAAGGGGCTGAAGCAATGGGCTGATTCACTTTCCCAGTCTTTTGGATATCAACAATTATGTGACCGCTTAAAAATAAATAACTAAAAATAACCCCTTACCTTTCTGAGGTAGTTTAGGAAGAACTCTTGGTCCAAGTGCAGTCTTTGCAGTCCCAGTGCTAATCAAGAGAAATGAACTGTCAGAACTTAAAGTGATGGCACATTGCTAATTACACCAATCTACTGTTCAGAAAAATCCAGTACGTAAATTACAGTAAGACTTCATGCCTAACCAATACACACACTACACTCTCCCTGGAACAGGGACATGCTCTTCATCATAACCAGTCTTGCGCTGAAGTGACCCAAAGAACCTTGTCTGCCTGCATCCTTAGACCAACACAGCTACATCCTTTAAACACTGCAGTTTTAACAATAACTAGATTTTCTCTTTTCCAAAAGCATAGCAAGTATCAGTACGCTACTCTTTTATATAACTGCAGAATTACCCCAAACTTTATTCAGGTCATAATTACACTGATATACCAGAATCACTTTTATAGTGTTGAATACTGGTAACTCCATTGGCAAAACTACATTTTGGAAAGGTACAACAATGACTTCCACGCCAAATGAAGTGGACTATTCTAGTAAAACCAGAGTTTTGTCGATACAATTGCGTCTAAACCAGCATTTCTGGCAGGTAGCTACCTTGGTCAGGGACCACAACTTTTCCCAACCCTAATTGACCAATATCATGCACGCAGAAGTACTGATCCAGCCCAAATAAAAAAAGACAATTTCCAGAATGTACCTGATTTAAACAGGTAAATGTGAATAAAACAGTACATACCAAAAAGTAGTACTATGCATTCATAATGTCACAGGTTACAAAAGAAAGATGAGCAAAAACATTGTTTTTTCAAATTTTAATGACCTGATGAAGAATGTGTTGCATTTGAAAGCTTGTCTATTCCAACCATACAACTGGTTTAATAAAAGATAGCATCCTAAGAAATCCTTGCCTCTTGCAAAATTTTTGGACTATTATGACTACACCATCACCATTAAGTTTTAAGTCCTCTTATAACTGATGCTGTAAGCATTGCTTATTCAGAGGCATAATTCAAGGATAAAAAATGTGTTGTAAGAGCATAATCCAAGGATAAAAGACATGTTGTAAAAGATAATCTCAACATGTGGTGTGAAACTGCCCAAAATATACACTATAAGACAATGGTGAGGGTATATCTGACGGACTGTCATGGTTTTGTACAAGGGCAAGTGCTCATTTTATGGAACATTCTGAAAAAGTAGAGTACGTCTCTTCCATTTTTAATAGCAAAGGCACCACTGAATATATTAATAGATTAGGGAATTTAGCTACTGCATGTCTGTGAGCAGATACTGTTAAAAATTGGAAACGCTCCACTCTAGACACAAGCACAATAGTTGACCCTGTTTGTTCAGACTACTGAACTTGTAAAAGCAGTTGGCTCATTAACTCTGTTTATTCCTACCAAACTACCATTTGGCCCAGGCCCAACCGAACCCTGCCAAGAAAGGAAAAATTACTGATCTGTTATTCTGCTTTTCTGAAGTTATCATTCTAACAGGATTTTCACTTCAGGGTCTTAGCTCCTTTACACAATACTGACAGGACTTCCTGCCTGCTTAAGGTTTTGTGCCCCCTTTAAAACAGTGATAAATGGACTATGATAGTAGTGGCCATCACAGGTTGCAAAGATCTCATGTTATACCACCATGAACAATTTTATGGTGGCACAAAACCCAAGTGAACAGACATCTTAGCCTTTTGGTGCAGCACAAATGCCCAAATTTGTGAGTGTGATGATTTGTAGTCAGTTTGTGCTGCCTTTTCACCCTGATATCTGTTCACTTATTCTGGGAGAAGGTAGGCAGCCCAGAGCTGGCCACTAGGGCTGTGTGAAGCTTCGGTTCCTGATTCGTTTCGGAGAAGATTTGGCCCGATTCAGTGAAGAAATCTTCAAATTTGAATCGAATCAGGAGACCGATAAAAAGGTCCAAATTGATTCAGAAAAGATTCGGGCACTCGCCACCGCAGGGAGCTGGACCCGGACTCCATGCTGATAAGTGGGGAGAAGCAGGGGTGGGGGAGGAGATGGGGGGACCCCTGCCAGGCCCCATCCCCTGCCTGCTCTCTCAGCCCACCCGAGCAGCCCCCAAACATCTGCCCACTCTTCCAACCCCATCAACGGCTGCCCCACCCAGCTCCAGTGTCCCAGCTCTTAAAAAAAAAAAAAAAAGCCCCACACTCACCAGCTGCTACAGTGACTGTTGGGGCTTCTGTGGGCTCGTGGCAGAGCCCCCTCACACTGTGGGGTAGTGGGGGGCAGCAGGGATCCCCACCCTGCCTGGCAGCAGCTGGCGAGTGCGGGGCAGTCATTGACGGGGCTGGGAGAATGGGCAGGGGATGGGGCCTGCTCAAGTCAGAGATCTGGCTGATTTAGCAGCAACCGAACCTTCGAATCAGATTCGGGACAGTGATTCAAATCACTAAATTGAATCACTGTCCCCCAAATCTGAAGCGACTACTAGCAGCTTCGCACTGCCCACT